AAACAGTTTCAATAAATACATCACATACCTTATTATAGGATTGCTAAGTCTTGTGGCTTTTTCATAAATAGCTCCATATCCATATGACATTTAAATAGATTTGTATATATTTGATTTGCATATATTTCCTGGTACTGTATTAGCTTCAAGAAAGAATATTTCACAAAACTATTCAGAAGATTTTTTTTTTTTTTCCCCCCTTCATGAGCCTTTCACATTTGAATTCCAGAAAAGAACTACCTAAAGGCTTCATTGCTTGGAATCACGTAAGTATTGTACAAGGCAAGAGTGCACAGTGTTTCTTGAGCAATCATACAATTCCACAGTGCCCTTTTCCAGCATTAAACCCTCCCACTTTGATCCCTCTCCATCTGCAGTGACTAATCTTGACTGAAGATGCAGCAAAAACTGAAGCAGCAACCAATACCAATGAAACATTCACTTCCCGCGAACTAAGGATATAGGAGGCTAAAGTTCCTAGCAATTACTGAGGAGTTGGGTTTTCTTTTTCCATGTTGATCAATTTATCTGTAACTTCTGCCAAGGAAGGGTCTCCGGCTCTATGCTTAAACCTGTTACCAAAACCAGGCCAGGCAAAGGAGCTGACTGTTTCATTATTGTGTGCAGACTATTATGGAAGTTAATTCAAGATTGTGGAAGGTTTGGGCGTTCATTTCCCTTTTTTTTTTTTTTTTTTTTTTTAAGTAATTGAGACTATTTCAAAAGAATAGAGTTATTAAATGTGGGAACTGTTGGTAAGATACTGCTAGTATGCATTGTGTGTTTGTCTCAGATACTGTGCAAAGTGTTTCTGACACTTGGTTTTCATGTGTATCACAATACTCATTTCATTATGCAGATCAAAATTTTACAAAGCATTTCACATTTTCATACAGAAAACACTTTTGTTTATTGTCATCTTCTCTTGCAATGCAAATTGTCACAGTTGGTTATGCGATTCTTGAATGTATTATGCTTTTCTGTCTAAAACTGAACAAATTAGTAGATAGATGATACCTTTTTTTCTGCCTAACTCTATTACTCAGTCAAGATTTGCCCATTATTATTTTTGCTGGTGGATTAATTAGGAATTTGCTGGCCAGTATATGCAAGTACATACACGCATCACCTAGGAGCCTGAGCTGTTATTTGACCTAAGAAATGCAACAATGATCTTGGTCACAATTTTTGCTTCTGTGACTCCAAGTAAGATCCAAGGATCTAAAATTCTACTCAAGCAGACACAGGATTTTTATAAAGATGGCTTTGATTGTTTTCAGGTCACATCTGGAAGAAGAATTCTAAATATTCTTGTAATACTTCAAGGGAGGAGTAAATTAGCTTTTAAGTCTCATCCTACAAGGAGTAAAAGAATGTCCATGCCATTAATTTTTATTAACTCATCATCTCTGGTTCAGTACATCAAAGGCTGAAACAAATGTGACTGCTGGAACAGGCATGATGAGTCAGGACACTAATAAGCAAACAGGGATTAAAACTGAATTATCTTTTTGCTGGATGTCTCCTAGTTTTTTATCTTTGTGGGTTTTCATTCCTTGTCGCATCAAGCAGATTGAGAACTATGTGCAGAAGTTCATCTTGGTAACTGCCCTCATTAATGTTTTTAAATGTTGGCTGCGAAGTGTGAAAGAAAAGCATTCATGTACTGATGGGTCCTGTAAAATGGTAACTGTCTCACAGTCTGCAAATCTTGTACTCCAGCAAAGCCAGGCTCCCAAATTCATGGCGCTGGTGTGCGCTTCACATAGACAGCGTATCTTGACTCAAGATATTAAACTGCTAAGAGTTTAAACAGATGTTTTTCCAGAAGTTCCCAGGGGGCTCAAAACTGGATCAAGCAGTTCAAGCGTTTGGACATTTCATATGCTTTCCTCCATCAACTCTGCTGCCCGAGAGAAACTATTTTTGTCATCTCCTTTTCCTGTCACTGGAAGTTCTGGAGTAAAGTACAACTCCAATATCTCCAGATTTGTATGACAAGAAATACTTCTGAATTATTTTTTGAGCAACAGTGGTTAGTTTAGGACAGCAGGTCTGAGGACTTGTCATGATGTCAGTACTTCTGAGGGAGGGTAGAGATGAAATGTGGGGGACATGTCACTCCCCCTTGGCCGCCTCTCGTTCAGCAAGTGTGGCACTACCCGGGACCTCATCCCAGGGGGTACTGACCTGTTCCCTCCGTGTTCATCACTGCTGTTCAGTAGCGTGGGCACAACATATAGGTCAGTGTCCTTCCCTCACAGAAAAAAAAGCAGAGTAAGTAAGAACAGGCATCAACTGCTTGTTCCAACACTAAGGAAAGAAAAAATGAATCGACTGTTACAAGCTGTTTTCTCCTTAGCAACCAAAAGCAGCTCTGGACATACTTTACTTTTTCTCTACTGCTGGACAAAAGGGAACAGTGCTGTTTAGTATGTGAAATGGTAAACATTTTTTATGGGCAGTGAAAGGTCAGGGTGTGCTTTTCACAAGACTTGAACTGCAAGAGCTATCAACCTGGCTGAATACACAGAAGCACTGCTCAAGCTGAAATATCAATATAACTTGACTTTTTTCTGTGCTGAATAGGAATTGCTATTTTATGCTGATAGTAAAAACTATTGCCATGATATTTCTTCTTGGAAAAATTGAATGTTCATATATTTAAATACAGGAAAGTCTCAGAACATCTTTTGGATAGAATTACTGCTAATTACAGACTGTTCTACTAAAACTCTCTCCTTACCCGTGTTGCTGGGTTAGCTGATCAAGTGCCAGTGACTAACACAAATCTTGCATGGGTAAACAAGGTTTTCAAGATTGCCCTAATTTCTTTATTGTTTTGTCTGAGAATTTTTGACCTAGTGAAGAATTGACTGAGCTATTAGTGGTGCTGACATCTTTAGCGGAGATGTTTGTAGTTGGGCAGGGAGCTGAGGAGACAGGACAATGGCTAGAAATCTTCTCGAGGAGAGCCTTTACTGCTCTATAATCTGTGCAAAACTACCAGTGAGGCTAAATGACAAGGAAAATGCAAAGAGCAAAAAGCAAATTATCTTATTGACTTGGGGTAATTTAAGGCTTAGTTTATCACAGGTAGCTGTGGATGATTCCCGAGCTCCCGTGGCAGTGAATGCTGAGAACGTTTGCTAAATGCCTTGCTGTCTGAGAAGCACTTTTCCCCTTCAGAAAAGAGTAAATTCCATGGACTGACTACAAGATCTTAATCTGTTATTCCTTAACTGTGAAAGGTATTTTATAATTGTAAGGCACTTGAACAAAAAGGCAGTGATATGCAAGTGTGACCAATAACTAATCTTTTGTAATGATTCCTAGAACATTAACAGGTTTGGTGTATCAAAAGCTACCGAGAGATGTTTCTAAGAAGTGTAAAAGCTTACCCTAGTCTTTCAACTATACGTTTCTCAGAACAAGAATATAAAAATGTCTAGCAACCTAAAATAACATTAACTTATCATCTTGTCATTTTTAAGGCATCACTGTTTGAAATTTTATAAGCAATGATTGTAAATGCTAAATAAAAAAAAAAATTAGAGGAGAAGAGAAAAGAAAAGAGAAAAGAGGAAAGAACAGAGAAAAAAGAAAAGAGAAAAGAAAATACCATCTGGGCAGCACAGTAGTTATGTAGATTCGTCTAAAGATACTAAATTCCCACAGCTATCAAAAAATAACTCACAGACAAAACTAATATGGGAAATATGGACACAGTATTTTAAATGTATAGCTTGAATAGTAAACTTTGAAACTCATTCTTCAAAGTTCTGCCAATCCGTATGTCCTGGGTTGAGTGAGTGGTGGAGTTTTTTGGTGGCAGGGGAGGGGGCTATCGGGGCGGCCCCCTGTGAGAAGCTTCTCAAAGCTCCCCCAGCTCCACGTCAGCTCCACTTCTGTTTAGGAAATTGAGCCAATCGGCTGCGCCTCTGCGATAACGTATTTTAAGAAGGGATGTGGTGACATGCAGTGGGACTGGTGAGGAGGAGTTGCTGCAGCTGCGTGAACACCAAGGTCAGTGGAGGAACGGAGGAAGAAAAGAGGGGGGAGGTGTGCCGGAGCAGAGACCCCCCTGTATCCTGTGGTGAGACGGCAGGTCGGCCCCCCCTGCCACCCATGAAGATCTACGGTGGAGCAGACACTGATTTGTGGCCTGTGGCTTCTGCTTGCATGATCAAGGTTCTGTACCCGAAGAAGGCCGGGATCTCGTGGGAAAAGGTAGCCCCGCTGCTGTAATTCAGCTCTGGGAGGATTGCAGCATGCGGGGGTGTCCCACGCCGGAGCAGCTCAGGAAGGGCTGCAGCCATGGGAGGGAATCCAGTCGGAGGAAGTTAGTGACCCATGACGGAGCAGTGTGGGGAATGCTGCGTCCCATGGGAGGAATTCATGTTGGAGAAAGTTTGTGGAGGACTGTCTCCTGTGAGAGGGGGACCACGATGGAGCAGGAGGAACAAGTTCCAGACACTCCCCTCACCGAAGATGAAGGGAAGTGGCAGCACTGACTGCACCCCCCCATTCCCTGTCCCTGCGCCACTGGGGGAGGAGGTAGAGATATCGGGAGCAGAGCTGAGCCTGGGAAGAGGGGGGGGTGGGGGAAGGTGTTCTCAAGATGTGGCAATGCTTCTCACTGTCCTACTCTGTTATGTGTTGTTAGTGTCTGTAATAAATGCGTGTTCTTTTTTTCTTCCCCTAACGAGTCTGCCTCTTGCTCGTGATCATAAAGGGAGATTTTTTCCCCATCCCAGTCCTATCTCCAACCCCAAGCCTGGCTCTCTGTCCCTTATTGCCGGAGGGGAAGGGAGAGAGAGCTGCTGCATAGTGGTTGGCTGCCAATCAGGCCTAAACCACGACACCATACTTTTTCAGTAAATATAAATCTTCCTCCCATTTCTGTAAACAACATTTAAAAAGACACTTTTTTTTTTTTTAATCAACACAGGCTGTGCTATGAGTAAGCCACACTTTGTGGCTGCAACCATGCTTTTGCTTTAAACCAGGTTGAACTCCCTCAAGTTTAATTGCAGGATTGTGTCCTTGACAGCAGCAAAGACAAAATGAATATTTTCTGTGTCTGTAGCATAAGTGAAGTGTGAATAGATTACTTTCTCCTTGTCTGGATTCTGATCCTGATACAGCTTCAAAATGAAGTCTCGGGCAGCTTTGACATCTTGTTTAGGTCCTAGTCAAAAGCACCGTTAGTGGTTTTGAACAGTTAAAAGCCATGGGTAAAGGAAGAAATGTATGGACAATATCTTAACAAGCTAATTTCATATTTATATATTAAATTGCTGTAAAGGCATACTCCCTAGTTGGCATTTTCTTATTCACATGTTAGTGGAGCAAAAGCTGTTACAACAGTGCTTTCTAAAATGTGTCAGACTGTGCTTTTTTCAATGGTAAACTTTATAGGTCAAAGTAATTTTTTTATAAAAGCCTGCACAACTGAAATTACCCAGCATATATTAACAGTTTACTACATTATTATAGTATGTCAAAGACCATGAGAGAAATTAAATTTTCCAAAACACATAGGGCAAACAGCAGTCTCTTTGGCCAAGAGAGGGATGTGTGTTTTTTCTGTAGCTATTAAACCATTCTAACTCATTATTAATTGTAGGATTCAATGAATTGTGTGTCTTGTAGAATATAATACTCTATTAAGTAATGGAATACATCTGTGATCATTTTTGTCATTCTTTTGGTGACTTTATCAGCAACATTTTTAAGGAAAGTTATCCAAGCTGCTTTTTAAGTTTGGACTTTTATGTAGATAAATTATAATAATGAATGCAAAACTGTGCTATGGGTTATTACTATATAAAGATCTGGTTTAATAGCTGTATTCCTCAAGTTCCCCCTGTGTCTTGTCTCTTGAGACTAGAGATGAAAAAGGTGCTTCTTCTCATAAATAAACAGTGATCATACCACTTTAATTGTAACAGAATGGATGCAAGAAATCTCTTAAGAATCTGTGCACGGTGCTCCAGTAAAAATACAAAGTTCCAGTAAAACTGAGTAACTTAAGTTTGTATTCTAAAGGATGGAGTAGAAAAGCATAGATATCAAATATATTGCATAATTCCACTTTCTGTGTTCAATTTAATGAGGAAAAACTAACTGCTTTAAATACTACTTTTAACTTCTTGAAGATAGTGTGGGTTAAATGCTTACCTGTGTATTCTGGAAAGTAGCTAATTAGATGGGAATACATGATCTTCTCTTCTAGAAGATCTTTTTTATTTAAAAACAAAATGACTGAAGAATTCAGAAACCAGGGATAGGTAATGATAGTTTTAAATAAGGCTTTGCTTTCTTCCATTCGATTCTACAACAAAAATTAATGTGAAGTTACACTCTTTAGACAGTTGCATATACAAATCACACCAGCCAGAGATCACATAGGTTTTTGGAAAGCTTTTTAAAAAATACTACTTTTATTAAGCATAATTGCAGCACACTGGCTGATCATTACTTTTCATGTTCTATATCCTTTCATTCAATGGGTTTTGGATCACCACTATGAATGACATGATGGCATGTGAAATCAAGGTAAGCCTATTATTAATAGAAATTATTCACATGCTTGTATGAGTTAGTGGGCAGCCATGGACTGCTGCTCTATGAAAGCCTCTTCTGACCTCACAGTGAGTGTAACACAGTGAAAGGACAGGAGCGTGTGTACTCATCCATACTAGTAATAAAGTCTGTCCATTTCAAGAGGGATCTAAGAACACCACATTCAGAGGTTGCTGTTTGGAGTCCCTGGGGAAAAGCTTGTGATGGCATTCAGTTCGTTAATGTTCAAAGTAATGTTCAAAGTGAGCATAACAGAATGTTCAAGATGATGGTGAAAGGAAAATTACAGTTAACCAAGTTGTTCATGCATTAAAAGATGAACTTTAAAAACTCAACTACAGTGGATGTTGTCACACTTCAGCAAGTGAAGTAGGGTATCCTTTTCACAGTTCAAACAGATCTTGAGAAAGTGAACTTTGGGACTTCAGAGTTTAAATGGTACTAAGCATTTCTGAAGGAGTCCTCATACTGCAGGATGTAAAGCCAGCACTACCAAAAGTAATGCAGTTCCACTAACATGCTTTTCCCTAATTACCTACTGTTTTCTTTTTTGCATCCTTCTCTACATCTGGCTATTGATGATGATGGCACTCTAGAACAGATGGGAGAACTCGTCTTATGTTGTCTAACTTTGGGAAGTAGGTAAATTTTAAGTTATTTTGTTTTAATTTTCCTTAATTAATGCACAGGTTAATTCTGAAACATCAGAGATTTAAAAAAACAAACAAAAAACCTAATTACAGAAGACTGAGGTAGTTTTACTTGCTTAGAGATATTGCTGACACTCAACTTTTCAAACATTTGACATGGTTTAAGTGATTTAAAACATTTTAAAATCATATTTTGTCTTTTAAGGTAGAGTTCACTTTTACAAGCAGACTGCTAATTTAGTACAACTTCATGCCTGCTTGAACAGCTTCTTAATGTAATTCTGGTATCTGCAAATGCTTTTATGAAGACATGTGAATGCTGTCTTTCTTAAAAAACACGCATCTTTTCCTGCACCTTATATACCCCCCACTCCTTACCTCACTGTCACATTCTGCCAAGACTTGATCATATTCACTTAATGCAACTAAGAAAATGATGGAAGTGACACTTTCGAAACAATGGATCCACTTCCTTCTTTCTGACCTTTGGCCACCTACATCCACCATCCTATTAAATAAAAACACAGTCAACATATTAGTCATTTTCATAAAATACATTACGTATATCCAAAGGCTTTATAACAGATTGCCCACCTGAGATAAGCTTGAACTATGAAAAGTATATCTTACCATTGTACATTCTGTTTAATAGTTAAACTTGATTCACTTCCTGTACTGCTCATTAGTGGTGTTGTGGGTTAATCCTGGTGGGCAGCTAAACACAACACAGCCACTCACTCACTACCTGCTCCCCACTGTGGGTGGACAGTAGGAGAGGAAAGAAAGAGCAAAAGCAAAAAACTCGTGGGTCGAGATTAAAAAAAAAAAAAATAAATTGTTTAGTAAGTGAAGGATAAGTGGAAGAAGAGATAAAGAAAAAAACACAAGTGATGCAAAAGCATTCACTCACCACCTCTCATGGGTAGATCAATGCCCAACCAGTTCCTGAGAAAAATATGGCTAACCTCCTTAAAACCCTCTCTTTTAATTTTTATCATTAAGCATGACGTTGTATGGTATGAAATGTGTCTTTGATTAGTTCAGGTCATCTTCCTGGCTGTCTCCCCTCCCAACCTCTTGTGTGCCCCCCAGCCTATTCACTGGGGAGCAGAGAAACAGAGAGGGCCTTGGCACTGTGCAAACATTGTTCAGCAAAAGCTAAAACACTGGTATGTTATCAGTACTGTTTTGGTTACAAATCTAAAACACAGCACCATATCAGCTGCTGTGAAGAAAATTAACTTTATCCCAGCCAGGCCCAACACAAACTTATAAGCCACTTGAGACACAATAGAAAATATAATGCTGAGCTTTCTTCTGTGTTTGTAGAAGTTTTAGTGAAGTGAGTTGTAAACATATTAAATACTGTTTCCCCACACACTCCAAAATCTCCTTCAGCTCCCTCCCACCCCCAAAAAAACCCCAGTGTAGTCATATCTCACTACTCAAAAGAAACAAAACATTCACAAATATCTCAGTTCGACATCAAATTCATATGGTTTTGCAGACAGTTAAGTATGTCCCTCATATTTTATTGAGGTCAAACTGTTCCCTAGAACATTCCATTTCCAAGAAAAAACAAACAAAATACAAAATCAGTCAGGCTGGTTTGACCATGTGTTATGAGAGGGGGTTCTGGTTCTGTGTTGTAACTGCAGGCAGGTGTTTGTTCATGACAAAACAGATTGCTTGATGGAAGAACATCTATAATCATGCTAGTGGGAATGCTGCAATTTTGAAATTTAAAAAAATGCTTTCCCTTTAGAAAATCAGTAACCCCACCTGTTGAAATAGCTTGTCTAGTAGTGGGCAAGACAATTTTAAGGTGCTTTTCAGATTTTCTTTCACCTTTGTGTGTTTGTTTGTTCCTCTCAATTCCACTGAACATAATTTTAGAATAATATATGGCAGGCAGAAGAGAAGCATCTACTGTCATGACCCTACACTTTTTTTTGCCCCTTCCTCCTCTCCTCAGTGTCTCCAACTCCCTTCCCTAACTTTATCTAACCGAAAGTTGTAAACTCATTGGAGGGCTTCAGCATATCTATTAGGGCCCTGTCTTCCAAACAGTTACTGTCAGGAGGCAGAACGGTTGGCTCTAAATGGAATTAAACTACATTCCAATATGAGCACACATGAGCACTACAAATACCTTGCCTCTGTACCCTCCCCATCCAAGGCTTTTAATTAAACTAACAGTTCAGAACGCACAGGGCTGCTTGAATTTAAAAGATTTTTTCATGTAATGTAAATTTCAAAAGGAATGTTTTGAAACACCGCTCAAATTACTGTCTCAACTTTGGAGACTGAAAGGGCTGGAAATACAGACAACACTCATGGAATGAAATAGCTTAAAGGACCTTAGAAGCAAAGTTGCAGCAACGACTTTCATAATTGTATACTGAATCATTTGACAGGCAGTCTTACCTAAATCCAATATTTTCTAAATCAAAAGCATACTCGATAATTCCTGTAGTTGGCACTCGGACTCTAAGAATATCTTGCTGAGTTGGCAAATGTGAGGGCATGGCAATACGGTCAAGGTCAGTAAGATAACTAAAAAATTAAATATACAATAGAAACAAGATTAATACACTATCATAAATTAATCACATCACAGATTCAAAACCAAGGTACTATCCAGCAATCACACAAATGTACCCACAAAAGCAGCTAAACAGAAATTCAGTTGTATATGGCCTTAGTGCAATTGTTGCTGGCATAAAACAACAAAACCCTTTAACTGAGACCTGCATGTACATTTCAGACAGAATACTACTAGTCAAAAGAGATGATGCCTCAGTGTTCTATACACAATCAGCCCACACTCAAAATGATGAATTTTATTTTAATAATCTTTGGTATTACCCCAAAATAAACACCAGAATTAAGATTTGTAAACAAATATAAATATCAGTCCTAGCCATAATGTTTACCAGCAGTACTCGATCCCCCTCAACTCATCAGTGATGCTAAAACTGCACACAAATGTGAAAGCTTGCTGGACAGTATTTGAGAGAGTTATTAATGGAAAACACTGCAAAAGTGAAGGCTTGAAACTTATGTATTTTTAATATAAAAGACGATGCATTTACTTCCTCATCTGCCCTTGCAGTCATTCTTAACTTTACCCCCCTCAGTTTCACAAGGCTCTTGTGCTTTTAATGGCTGGCATGAAATTCTACGATGATCTGAGCAGCACGTGAGCAATACAGAACTGATGCCTGGTTTTCCTCCCTGCAATCTATCTTACCACCACCAGAAGGCAATATTAGATCATCCAAAATCCTTACAAGGGATACAGAAAGTGTAAAGTAAGGTGTGTTCCAAATCATGTAACATGGTTGTAGCACAAACCTTCCTTTATTTAAGCACAAATTTCCCCCTTTTTCTTTCGTGGAAGAGGGATTGGTGTCCATGTATTCTCCCCCCTTGCTGCCCAAATATCCCTCATATTTGGACTCCAAAATCAGAAGTATTCACAATGTTATCACTTACTCAGAAAATATTTCTCTTAAGAAAATTTCTCCTCTCCAGCAACTAGCAAATTGTTAAAGAGATCTCAATTGTAATTAACAGTAAAAGGAAGATTTAATAAAATTCAGAATAAAACTGATTTTCAGTTGTGGCTGATTTCTTAGAAAATGAGGCTATAGTAGAGCATTAAGCGGCATCCTTCTTCTCCAACGTAGGATTAGTTAAGATCAAGGCAGACAAACAACTGTCAAGATTGATAGCACTTAACACACAGGAGCAGATTGCCTATGCGTAACCATTCTGAGTTAAAGTTTACCATAAATGACTAATCTAAATGTTCCTTGCTGAAATTTAACCTTGCTACTTCTCAACTTTGGCCGAAACAGAAATGGAAGGTTTCTGTTCTCATTAAAACCTAATTTTTTCACAATAAATTCTTTGAAAATTGGAGACAGATTTCTCTTCATTCTTATTTATATTCTAAACTTTTAACGTAACTGAACTGTCTGACCTGCCCACTCGCTGTCAATGTATTTTGTACAGCTGTTCTTCAAGATTTCTCCCAAGGGAAACTCAGTTATGTACCAGCTGTGTTGACCTCAGAGCTGGGAGGGAAGATGGCTCTAGGATGACCAGAAAGCCTAAAATTAGTTTGTTTCCTCACTCCAGTTTAAAATTTGTTGTCTACCACAGGCCAACAGAGACCAGAGACACGGGTATAACTAATAAAATCAGAGTGAACCTCTCTCTTCTCTTATGAGCCAGCAGTGTGCCCAGGAGGCCAAGGTGGCCAACAGCACCCTGGCTGGTATCAGAAGCAGTGTGGCCAGCAGGACTAGGGGAGTGACTGTTGCCCTGTTCTCGGCACTGGTGAGGCTGCACCTCAGCTACTGTGTTCTGGTTTGGGCCCCTCACTACAAGGAAGACACTGAGGTGCTGGAGCATGTCCAGAAAAGGGCAACGAAGCTGGTGAAGGGTCTGGAGGACAAGTCCTATGAGGAGCGGCTGAAGGAACTGGCGGGGTTTAGCCTGGAGAAAAGGAGGCTGAGGGGAGACCTTGTCACTCTCTACAACTACCTGGAAGGAGGCTGCAGTGAGGTGAGTGTTGGTCTCTTCTCCCAAGTGACAAGTGACAGGACAAGAGGAAATGGCCCCCACTTGCACCAGGGGAGGTTTAGATCGGATATTAGGAAATATTTCTTCATCAAAAGGCTTATCAAGCATTGGAATCCAATGCCCAGGGAGGTGGCTGAGTCACCATCCCTGAAGGTATTTAAAAGATGTGTAGATGTGGCACTTAGGGACATGGCATTGTGGTGGACTCAGTAGTGTTAGGTTAACAGTTGGATCGATGACCCAACGGGTCTTTTCTGACCTAAATGATTCTGTGATTAACTTCATGAAGTCTGGCCTGTCTGTGTAATTACGTACTGTACTTACTACTTAGCAGAGTCTGAAAGCTGGGACTCCCTCCATCTGTCATAGCATTCTTGATTCCTAGGTCTTCCCAGAGATTTTTGATTGCTTCAACTTGTTTTTTTTCCAGCACTGTCACTTCATCCACTTCCACTTCTTTGATCATCGGAGCACTCACCTAATCAATTAAATGATTACAGTATTGTGAGAAATGATTGACATTGGCATGCAGTACGCAATCTCCTCTTTCTTTATTATACTCTTCCCACCAGTGAGACTAAGAACCTAGGAGAAAATAAGCAGTTTTGATCCTTGAATGCATTTAATTTTTCAAGTTAAATGACTGCTACTGAATGTTTCAACTAAGTTAGTCTTGCTTAATGCCATCCAGGTGTGATTTTTCTTTTTGAAAAGGACCCTGGCAAAGGTCAGAAGGAGCTTTAAACCTACTTTTTAAACTCACAATATTTTAATACTAATTTATAACAGTGGTAATGTTTACAAAATTCCAGATACTTTCTTTAGGACAGATACTTCTGGTTTGTTAGTTTCATTTGTTTCTGGATAAACCAGACACTGACCTAGCATAAACAGTCATCAAGCAGGCATTAAATTCCTGCAAGCTATCTCTGTTTAATGCTGAGCTCAGTGACATACAGCCATTCTAAGTACTCTGTGGAAATTTTTCTTTGCTTTCTGCTGTTAAGAGGTATGTCAAAGATAAATTTAAGTTTTGCTTTTAAGGGATACAAAAGAATCTATTCTTCTGCAGCTAGTGGTGCCTTTGATTTGCTGGAGGGAAGGGATGCCATCCAGAGGGACATTGACAGGCTTGAGAGGTGGGTCTGTGCAAACCTCATGAAGATCAACAAGGTCAGGTGCAAGGTCCTGCATGTGGGGAAATCTCCATCATCAATACAGACTGGGGGCCGAATGGATCGAGAGCAGCCTTCTGGAGGACTTGGTGGTACTGCTGGATGAAAAATAGGACATGAGCCCACAAAGTGCACCTGCAGCCCAGGAAGCCAGCTGTATCCTGGGCTGCATCAAAGAAGTATGGTCAGCAGGTCGAGGAAGGAGATTCTCCCCCTCTACGCCACTCTTGTGAGACCCCACCCAGAGTACTGCGTCCAGCTCCGGGGTCCCCAGCACAACAAAGACGTGGACCTGGTGGAGCAGGCCGAGAGGAGGGCCACAGAAATCATCAGAGGGCTGGAGAACCTCTCCTATGATGAAAAGCTGAGAGAATTGTTCAGCCTGGAGGAGAGAAGGATCCAGGGAGACCTTATTGTGGCCTTTCAATAATTAAAGGGGGCTTATAAGAGACATGGAAAAAGACTTGTTATCTGGGCCTGTAGTGAAAGGACAAGGGGTAATGACTTTAAACTGAAAGTGGGTAGATTTATCTTGGACGTAAGGGAGAAATTTTTTATTATGAGGGTGGTGAGACCCTGGCAAAGGGTGCCCAGAGCAGCTGTGGCTGCCCCCTCCCTGGAAGGATTCAAGGCCAGGTTGGACGGGTCTTTGAGCAACCCGGGCTGGTGGGAGGTGTCTCTGACCTTGGCAGGGGGGTTGGACTAGACAACCTGTAAAGATCCCTTCCAAACCATTCTATGATTGGAAGTGCTCTCTTCTGTAACTTCAGCTGGGTATATACTGATGTTTGCTAATACCTTTAGTAGTCTGGAAACGTATTGTTCTAAAATGCATTTAATATTGAAATAAATTAGCTTATTTAGTGCTTCAGTTTGCCAACACTTTTTCTAGTACATTGCTAGATATCATCGAGATTTTAACATACATCCTCTTTGAAAATGAAATATGACTTCTTCCGAACTTCTTACTTAAGCCTTGAAGAGTCACAGATAGTAACACTGCATACAGATCTGTTTTGGATCCAGGGCAATGAATTCTTGGGTCTGAACTGGAAAATACGAATACTGATGGAACTGTTAAACTAGTAATTTAAAACAAGATACAGATCTGTCAGAAAACATGACTTTTTCAGTTATGAGATCATTACGTTATCACATGCAACTGCAAAACTATGTAACATAGAGACTAATGCCTCAAAACCAGTTTTTCCTTGCTTAGTTCAAATTAATTTTAAATATTATAACTCTCCAAAATGTTGTGAATATATTACTTTTCTGAGTTTTCATATTAAAGACTTATAATACACTCACAATGCCTGGGCAAATTCTCCGTGATTGGAATCATCTTTGATTTTACAGGTATTCTGTTACACAAAACCAAGTTTTCTGATTTTTATTAAAACTTTTTTTTTATATATATAATTTGAAATGCCTCATCATATAAACATTCCTGTTAGTATTTCCTGTAGATTCTTTACAGAGGTAATGTAATCTGTAGTGGTTTTTTACCTTAATTTTACACAGCACAGTTATGTTAGCAAGTCAGGTAATATTGCCTATTGAACAAATCTTTCTGTCCTGTAACTATTACATCAAATGTTCATGCTGATCTAGAACTACAACAGAAGAGTTTTATCTGTGATTTATACTTTATTTAGGCACTGTATATGAGGCAGGAGATTAGAAACCCTGTATCCTGGCAGTAACTTCTGTCCATCTTTTCAATCTTATCTGCAGAAAGACATGCGAAATAATTTGGATTATGAGGAACTCTTCCTTCAATTCACTTGAAGTTGCAGAACAAATACCCTTTTCTAGAGGAAAAGGCACTGACATGTAAATATCCATCACAGCATTTTGACTGGGGTTGACTTGGTCTTCATTCCATGATAAAACTTTGCACTTGTCTGAGAGGACTTCATGTAATTGTAGCTGCAAAACCAGCTTTGGTTCAGGTCCTTGAAGATAGAAATATGCAAACCTCAGTCCACGTATGTGGCCAAGTGTCATGTAACAGCAGGAAAAATCATTTTTGGGAAAATAATTCAGATTAATCTTTCATTTCATAGTATATAACAAATAGAGTTCAACACTGACAGCTAGTCTCCTGCTCGTAATGCAAAGAAAAAAAAAATCCTACAATGAAGTGAAAAATTACTTAAAGCACCGATTTTAGTATCATTCCATGGGTATGTCTTTCTCATCCTCAGTAAACAGGCATGTTACTACTAAAAAATGCCTTTGGTATCAATTATGGGTGGATAACATGACATGAAAGCAAGATGCAGAAAATGTCAGTTTCCTTAAAATGCAGTCTTCAGGATAAATGGGTAATGAGTAATCTTAGGAAACAGTGTACAATAATCCAGTCAGGATCTGACAGAAAAGAGGATTAAACTTGAAACACACTCCAAGATGTTCTTAGAGGCAGCAGAAAGTCCTTCAAACTGGGCAGCAGGAGAGACCTATATTTTTAATACCAGGAAATATCAGTATTTTAGCTAAAAGGCAGGTGTTACAGGGTTTTGTTTGAGTGTGCGCTTGAACGCATGTGTACATGTGTGTGACAATTTATTACTAACAGCAAACTTTCATCATAAGTAACAACCAGAGTAATGCCAGCTATTTCAGCCTCCAACTACTGTAATAACTGAAGTAAATGATTTTTCTACAAAATTGTGTTAACATGATAAAACATATCAATGTAAAATAGGATTATAATTGGAAATTTATTGTTTGTTTTACATCTAGTTTTGACTAATACTGATTGTCAAACATTGGTAATAGCTATACTCAGTTAAAGATATTCTCTACTGTATTCATGGTCAACACAAATATTAATTGCAACTGAACTGAAAATTTGTAAGCCATGCCAAAATTAAGTAAGCCCCCAAACGCTATACACAGCTCTTCCAGTACACTGTAAGAACCAGTTCCACTAACCAGGACTTTTTTTTATTTATTTATTGTTGTATCTAACCCACTGAAGGATTTCTGCTGATTATTGAAAGTAAGTGTCCTTTGAATCTGTCACAAACTGTGAAAGCTAAATAATTTTTCCAACCAGCTACAGCTCTTTAAGATAGCTTGACATCTGATAAAATGCTTAAATGTTCTTTTTTCCCTTCTGGTTAAACTCTGTAAAGGGCATCTGAATAATGTAAGATGCCCCACAAGACTCACAGAGATTTTATTATTTTATTGTAGAATCTCACCACTAAGAATTCTAGAAAAGGGTTATTAAATCTTGTCAACACTTAATAATAATGTAAGTTTACATTTTAACAAATATCTTTTGGCATTGCCAGCAGCATACCATGAAAGTAGTTTTTAAGTATCATGAAAGTTTATAACTGTATTTTGAAAAGAAGTGGACCTCGGTGTTTCAGGTAGACAGTGTCATATTTTAAAACCTTCCTCTGCAACTTGGAAGAATGCCAGAAATTCAGTTTTCATGCCCCTCAAAGCAAGAGTGGAATTTTATCTAATTCTCACTTACCATTAAGTTAGTCCAAGAGATTTAGTGGAAAAATGCAGTAGTGTAATACATGAGCTGTAGGTGTTTTACAGAAAGAACAGAAAGGGCTCACTAATATGAGAAGAAAACAAAACAAAACACATCTACCATCAGTACAGAGCAAACCAAGGAACAAAGAGAAGAAAGGCTAAACGGCACAAGCACATGTTGACAACATCAGTTGTTGGCTTAATATTTTTTTTAATGAAATACAAGCAAGACATTAGTTCCAGAATCCACTTTTAATTAAAATATGTATAGCACATTATGCTCTCTCTAAACACAGTATAAGCAGGAACAACAAAAGTTACATTAAAAGTGCTGTAATGTTTTTATATTCAAAACCCTTGTTCTGAAGTTACCCTACTTCAGACTGATTTTTTTTAAGTAGACATCTGCTTCTTGATGACATGGTGCAAGTAGAGAAAGGAATACAGATGATACAATAAGGGTAAGTAATTTTGAATACACCAGACACAGGAGAATATACTTGTTACATTCAAAAAGAAAAACCCACACCACCAAAAAAAAAAAAAAATCAAAAAACCAAACCTTATGATCCTGGAAAGAAAACTAATCATGTATAAAAAAGACAGTGTCAAAATCGTTGGGCAAATACTTTCAAAACCCATGTCTAAGCTTCTTGGAATACTAAAAATCTATTAGTCTCTTAAAAATCTATTACATTATTCTCCACTAGAAATCAAACTTAGTTCTGCAATTAAAGGGCAACTGAGGATGCATAACAAGCAAGACTTCAGGGTTCAATTCTTAATCTGTTTTCAT